ATCTCACTCAATTTTGGTGCTGACTTTTCACTCAAACCCTTGCTAATACCCTTAGCTCTCTTGTTTGAATTGCCTTGAAAAGTCTGCTGATCATTCTGGCTTCCAACTCTATATATACACTTGTCTTCTCCTCATAGCCGTTGGAATTGAAAAGTTTCCTTTCCTTGCTTGTTCCTTGACTCTGTAACTTTCCATATTAATTGCAATCCGTTAAGGATGATTTGCTCAATCTTCCTCCAGCTTGTGCTTAGCTGCGTAAACTTCCTTGATGGTGAGACTGATTTCTCCCGCTGGCGATTTTGTTGATTTTCCTGAGTTCAATTGTAATGTTGCTCCCAACATAAACATACTTGCCCTGTATTAGTATATTGCACCAATTGAGGTTTATACTTGGGCCTTAATTAGGAGTTTTATTGTGATATTAGGGACGAGTCAGTATGAATTTTGATACAAGACTTCAAATGACATAATAACTTACAACTAAGAGAAACACATTATTAAGGTCCATCAATTTGGTCAAAAATCATTATAAGCGTCTTCAAATGATGCGTTCTGAAGACATTTTAGTTTTATTGATATTAAAAATATTTGAGTTTTCATCATTTGTTTTGGTGTCAGAATTTTTATCAAATGTATTTCTTAAATTGGAATTTTAATTTTATTGCAGTTGTTGAAGTGTTGGATAACTGAAACTCATTGCATAATTATTGTGGAGCGGTGATGAGGAAATGTGAAAATATCAAGCAATACAATCAAAATCACAATTCTATATAAAAGCGTTTTGGTCATCTAAAAATGTAAGATTTTAATTTGCGTAGATTCTAACTATGATTGTAAGTGAAAAGAGTGATTCTAAGTAGAAACGTTTTGTTGACCTAGAAGTGTAAAAGCATAAAATTTTAAATTTTAATTCGCGATTTTGATTGCATTGGTACCAAGCCCACGGGAAATTGAGGATGAGAAAGAAGACGCTGGTAGTTCTCACATCAATACAAAGATAAAGATGAAGAAAAGGAACAAGGACAAGGAAGTGGAAAGGATGGCATAAGTCATATGCAACGAAGAGTAAAAAGGGAAAATGTGCAAGTTGAGAAAAATCAGACCGACTTCTTTAAGTGAGGAAGACAAGGCCACATCAAGGCAGATTGTCCACTTTGGAAAAGAGAAAAGGCAATGACAGAAACATGGAGCTGTAGCGAGGATGATGAAGATGACTTTCAGGAGCAGTCTCACAAGAAGCACACGTGCTTAATGACAATTGATGATCAAGATGCTCACAACAATCATTCTGAGGTAAGTAAGCTTTCTAACTTTAGCGATTCAGATTATTATAGTGATGATGATCCTTTAACTAGCACTATTAGAAGCTTACAATAAGAATTTGCAGTGGTCAAGGTAAAATATAACAAAATAAAGGAAGAACACAGTGAAAGCAAAGATATATATAGGCTGCTGGTTTTACAAGCTGAGGAAAATAAGAAAAAAATGAACTGTTAACAAATGCAGTAGGTATCCGATGTTTTAGGTATTCGATGTTTCGGTACCTTTCGACGCGGAACTCGATTTCCTAGCAACAGGTTGTTCAGACGGTGATGAGGAGGAGGTAGGAGAGATTAAGGACCAAGTAGAGAATTTTTTCGTTGGTGATTCCGTAGTCTTCGGCCTGATTGGCGCTCCGGTAGAGCTCTCTGCCTCTGAGCACCAATTTCTGCTTGCAACGGTGACGCTTGTTTAAAAGAAAATAGCTTTATTTTTATTTTTTATTTTTGAATGGATGGGATAATGAGGTGGAAATTTAAGTATATTAAATATTATTCATTTTTTAATTATCACCTCACCTATTTAACGGTCAACTATGAGAGCTGACCGCCACATCAGCAAAAGTTAACGGAGACTAACGGCCAGTGACCAAACTTGGACTGTTGATAACGATGTAATTGCACGTATTTGCACCCCTAGTTCTTATCCGTTTGAGGGGCATAGTCGTGTATTTTTTGCCTATTTTACGCCGGGTTGTGCTACTTTGTCATATTTCAGGTCCCAGGCGTCAAAGGAAAGGCTAAGCACGAGTTTCGGGGCATTCGAAAGTCATTCGGTCGAGCTGGAGCCAAAACACGAGCACACCTAAATCAGAACACGGTCGTGTTCCTAGACCGTTCTTTTACTGCCGAGACTTGATCTGAGTTTGGCAAACACTAGCTCAAAACACAGGCAGGGCTGAGACAGAACACGGCCGTGTCCACCAAAAGCACGGCCGTGTCCACCAAAAGCACGGCCGTGTTTCTCCCAACAGGCTGGCCGTGTAATTAACCCTTGGCAAAGCACGGGCGGGCTGGAGCAAAGCACGGGCGGGCTGGAGCAAAGCACGGGCGGGCTGGAGCAAAGCACGGCCGTGCCCTCGACCGTGTTTTGCCCAGTGATGCCCTTTTAAGCAGATTTCAGCCAAAAGAGAGGGGGATTCGAGTTTTGAGAGAGACAGAGCGATTCCTAGAGAGAGAAAGCGACGAACAAGAGTCTCCAAGTGCCCTAGCTTGATCTTCATCACCATTGGAGCTTGGCTTGAGCTTGGAGAAGTGCCGATCAACGTCTAGGAGCAGGAATCCATCCTTCATAGTATGAATTCCGCGTCTGATTCTGCTTTTGCTTCTTTCTCCATGGAGTAGTTCTCCCATTCATCTGGGTATGGAGAACCCTAGATTTGTATGTTAGGTTTGATTGTATGAACCCAAGTACTGATTCTATGATTTGATTATATTCAATTTAGGTTTGAATGATTGAATGACATGAATCCTGATCAAATTCCTGTTGTTTCTGCTTTAACCTAGAATGAGAATATCTGCCTAGGTTGATAGAGCATCCTTGATTGAAGGTAGGGAGTTGGTGACTTTAGTCGAGGAGCCAACTCACTATTCTGTACCGAATTCACTTCGGTAGTGGAGGTTTTGTTCGTTAGGGCCTCAATCTGTTTACTCCGGTGGAGGTTAGTCGCCCGCTAGAGACTCAGATTGAGAGGGTCTGGAGACCTTTAGTCGAGACTTCAGACTGCTTAAGAACCTTCCGCAGTATAACTATCATAGAAACTGAACTTGGTAATTGCAATCCGGCTTAACTGCAGTCTAGGGGGAACCATATCCGGGTGACCTCTCTTAACCTGAAAACAACCGTTTGCTTGCTTTGACAGTAGAAATTTAAAGTTTCATTGCTAGATAACAAGAATTCACCGAGTAGTCATCAAATCTAGGACCCGGGTTGACATTAAAACCCAAACCCGCTATACTACGCTTTAGGAAGTGGTTTCACTTGGCCAATTCCTAGAGTGACAGTAGAAGTGAGTCAACCGTTAACCTAAATTAAGTGACTACAGATGGAATAAAGTAATTCTAGTAGCTAACGTGAACTTTACTAGTAATTCAAGTGACCAAACTTGCAATTTAGCCCGAAAAACTATGAATAGGAGATTTGATTTTCCTATGAAAATCTAGCTTTACAAGCCTCTCTTTACCAAAGGGGGTTTTCTCTCTACCTAGGTTAGAATGACAAATAGATTGATAGGCAAACACACAACACAATCTTCCATGAAAATACCTCCAAATTCTTATTAAAACACTCACACAGAACAATCATTCCATACAATCAATCACCTGATAGGACTTAGGGTTTACAAACACCCAAATGAAAAAGGAAACTACTCCATATTAGGAGAGGAAAAACACAAAGGGAAAGGAGAAAGCCCATCATGGAGATGCTTGGATCCTTCCTTGTACAGTAGAGATATTCCTTTGGGGAGTATTTTTCCCAAATCCTTCCTTGGAGTGAAACCCTAGCTTTTTCTCTCTTCTTGTTCGTCACTTTCTCTCTCTAGAATTCTGAAGAAGAAGCTTTCTCACACAAGGTCTCCTCCTCCTTTCTCCTTAAGCTCAAGCATCCTTCTATACCCAGATCCAGCTCAAATCACGGTCTTAGTTCACGATCGTGATATGAAAGTACAGACCGTGAACTGAGGTCAAAACGCGCCGTTTCACTTAATCCAGTTCACGGGCAACTACCCGAATTCACGGTCTTACGACCGTGAGACTGAAAAATGCTATGGACGCCTGACATTTAGTTTTTAAAACTGTCCACAATCTATAGGCTAAAAATATGAGGCAACTTTGAATTATGGTATCCAACCTCCTTGAAAAAAGAATCATATAAACCTTAATTCTAGGAAGTCTCATAATTTTATGTTATTGCTTAGTAAATCTAAATTATGAAATCTTAGGATAAAAGTAAGCTTACTCTTCCGAGTCAAGGTAAGGAGAGCTTAAGACAATTGAATTTCCTAGTACCCTTCTTTGTTTATCGTGGATAAGGAGGGCTTATAACCCAGTTGAAGCTATTCATATAGAGGTGCCGTCGATTAGCACATATTTTAAGTTAAGGTAAGGATATGACCATTTTTTCTTTCTTTCAGCCCTATCTTCTTTTTTAGGGTGTATAGCTCAGTTAGTAGAGCATTGGGCTTTTAACCAAATGATTACAAGTTCATGTCCTGTTATACCCAAACCTCCCTTAACACGACTATTAGTAAGTTTGAAATAAAACCATCAAGATCACTCTTTGGCCCGGAAAGCGTTCGACATCTTCTTTTATTTAAAGTCTCCATGCTCTTTTGATTATAGTAGTGGCCACAAAAGAGCAGAGTGTACCACCCTGCCATAGTCGCCAATATTGTACCAGATATGGTATGGTATTTCCTTTTTCTCTACTGCCTACTTAACATTACAAAAAGATTTCATAGATCGGTTATTAACTTATTATCATCACCTTTTTTCTCGGTTTCATCAATAATATTATGAGTTTTATCCCCTACAACCAATTTTACAAACATTCCTTTACTATTAACCAAAATTCTATGATTTGTTAACTAAAATATTTAACATATTAACCGAAATTCCATTATGGTTAACTAAAATATCAAAAATATCATCAATTCACATTATGCAAGATTAGTTAACTCTGACATAAATTTTAGATTATTTGATTTAAACAAAAGTATTAGTATCTTAGCGCAACGGAGCACAGGAAAAAGCCTAGTTGAAATTAAATACTCCATCGTACGTCCAAATTAAAGTCTTTGGTCCAGCAAAGCTCCAATGTGCATGTGGTACTTTTTTTTGGACAAAAGATAATCAGATATATTTATTGAAACAAATAGGCAGTTACATCCTGGCATCCAGCCAGGCTTTGAAATCCCAAGAGCGACTAGTTGTCGGGTACAATGAAAGGGTCTTTCTAGCCACCATATGTGCTACCCTATTGTTACAACGACCTACAAATGCACGACCTCTTCCAGGACGACGCCCATCCGACTATCCCGAGTATCAGATTGGTGGATCTTGTCAACGACCACTTTGACATCACCCTCAAATCTTATCTCTAAAAGTCCCATGCTTAAACACCATAGGATGGCCTCCCTAAGAACGAGCAGCTCCACCACCATAGGGTCATCCAGGTCTGGGAACTGAATCCCTCTAGCTAAAATGACTAACCCTGCCTGGTGCAGAATAATCATCCCACCGGCTGAATGGGAGCCACTTTTAGTTGCTCCATCCCACCTACAAACCATAGCATTTGGTGCACCCGTACCTATTGTTTGTATTGGGGCCCCAGAAATCTGGACACCACGATCCGCGGGTAAACATATCCACTCTTGATACTGTTGATGGAATTGACACATAAGAGCCAGGATCCCAAACTGTTTGCCTTCGAAGACAACCCAGTTTCACGATCGTCAGATACGCCACAAGAGAGCAACCACCACCCACCACTGAGGAGGATTCAAGAGTAACAAAAGTTTTTTGAGGAACATCGGGAAGGTATGGCGAGGCAACCCCTGACCAAGGTAATCCAGTCCTGAATGGTCCAATAAGGCCCTGGCTACATGATAGTGCCAATTTTTTTTTTCAATTGTTTCGGATTCTGCCCAACAAACCAGGCACCTGGGAAGCACATCAACATCTTTTTCTATTAGGGCCTCCGTCGTGGGTAGGATGCGATTGAAAATCTGCCAAGCAAATACCTTCAACTCTGCCAACCCCAGGATGGGCGAGAGCGGGCAGTAGCTTTAAGGAACGAGCTAGTCGTAAAATATTTTCCTTTATACACCTGTACGAGAATGGACTGGGTTTCATTAAGGATACACCACCCAATTTTAGCCAAAAGAGCTTGATTAAACTGCTCAAAGCATCGAAATCCCATTTTGCCCTCATGTTTGCTCCGACACGTATTCCGCCATGACATTCACCAAAATTTTGACTGGCCCTCCTCCACTCCCCACCAAAATCTAGCTAAGTGTTTATCCAAGAGGCGGCATAGGGAGAGAGGTAACTTGAAGCAGGACATGACATGGAGTGGTAAAGCTAAAGCGACCGACTTAATCAAAGTCTCCTTTGCTGCCCACGACAAAGTTCGTCGCTTCCATCCCTGCAGACGAGCCAATAAATTCTCCTCCAAGTATCAGAACGTCATCAATTTAGACCGAGAAATTAAGGTAGGTAATCCCAGGTATTTATCCTGGACACCAAAAACCACAACTCCCAAGATTTCTCCAAGAACTCTTGGTCATGTCTTGTGATGTTCTTACTAAAGCACACTGCAGATTTCTCCAAGTTAACTCGTTGGCCACTAAGTTCCTCATATTCTTCATCACCTCAATCAACCTTTCAAACTCCTCAGGGGACCCACGAAGAAAAAGGTAGGATTCATCTGCAAAGAATAGGTGGGAAATCCAGGGGGCGCGACGAGCAACTTTCACCCCTGGCAATCTCCCACCTATAATTTCTTTACGGATAAGTGCCAAAAACCCCTCTGTGCAAAGCAAAAACAATAGAGGAGAGAGTGGATCACCCTGTTGGAGACCCCTAGAGGGTTTAAAGAACCCAGGGGGTGTACTGTTCATAAGCACATAAAAGGACGCTGACCAAAGGCACTCATAAATCCAGCCTTGCCAGGAAGAAAGGGTCATTCCACTCTATCATAGGCCTTTTCCATGTCAACCTTTAGATGCATGTACCCTTTCTTCTCCCGTGTTTTTATCTTTAGTTAATGCATTAGTTCATGTCCAAGCAAGATGTTGTCAACAATTTGACGTTCTCGGATGAAAGCATTTTTTTCCTTCCGAAACGATTTTTGGCAAGAGGCAGGATAGTCTTTCTGATAAAATCTTGGTGATGATTTTATACACAAACTGACACAGACTGATAGGTCGTAGTTGCCTAACGGTCTCCACATTGTCCACTTTTGGAATCAAAGTCAGCCAGATATGATTAAAACTGCGGAGGGGCCTACCCAATGTGAAGAAGGAACAAACGGCTTTAATCACCGAATCACCAATGGTGTCCCAAAAGGCTTTTAAAAAACTTCCCAGTGAATCCATCAGATCACAGAGCCTGTTTTGATCCCATGGAAACAAAACTGTTCGTCGTACCTCACTAGGCAGGATTTCGGCAGTGAGCCCCACATTCATTTCCGGTGTCAAACTCCGAGCTATGTGGAGACTTGCTACCCGATCATCCATGTTAAAGATCTGACTCTCTGAGCTAAAGAGTTTTCGGTAGAAACTTGGGGCAATATCCGCCTTTCCTCTCTCCTCGGTGACCAATTCTCCATTTTCATCGTGGAGACCAGAAACAAAATTCCCCTTCCGACGGGCCCGTGTCATCGTATGGAAGTATGCTGAGTTCTTATCGCCCTTCTTTAGACACGTGACCCTGAACTTCTGTTTCCAATAGAATTCCTCTGCCTCCCATTGTCAATTCAATTCTAATTCCAACTCTTGCACGTCATCCCAATTGATAGGATGGATTGATTTGATCCGATCAATCTCCCCCTGTAGGGTTTTTATATTTCGAAGTGAGTTAGTTGTACCAGCCCTGCTCCAATCATAAAGCAAATGCCGTAATTTCTTCAGCTTCTGCCATAGCTGGTACATCGGAGTTCCACTAACCTCCTCCTGCCAAACATAATCCACCATAGCTTTGACCTCAGGATTATTTTGACAGCGAGCATCAAATCGAAAAAGAGGCCGGCTATTTCGGATGTATGGTTTATCTGATAGTAGGATTGCCTTATGATCAGACCCCTGATCTGTGAAATGCTTGGTAAGGGTATCCGGGAACTGATTGATCCAAGTTTGGGAACGCAAAGCTCTATCTAGCCTTTCCCTGATACAAGTAGGGCCCATGCGTTTATTTGTCCACATGAGTTGGTCTCCTTGGAAACCAGGGTCATGAAGCCCAAGATCATGGACAAAATCACAGAGGGCAATCGATTTGGCTAAGTACCAAGGGTTTCCCCCATCTTTTTCATTCTCGTTCATCGTTGCATTGAAATCTCCAATAACCACAAAAGATAATGGTATTCCTTCGCAAATTTCCCAAATTTGAGCCAATTGAGAGTCTCTAATAGAAACATCACAACTAATATGCACACACACCACCACGTAAGGAAAACAAACTTCATTAATCTGGATACAAATGGAGAAATTGGAATGAAAAACACCGAAGCGTCAACTTCGTGGGACCAAGCAACAACTAACCCACCTGATGCGTCATTGCATCAACAAAAAAACAATTAGAAGAAGCAAAACCTAAACCCTGCAAATGATGGGTAATGACGAGCCTGCAAGATCTTGTTTCGGAAAAGAAGACAAGATCCGGCTTATTTGAATGAACTAACCCTACAACAGTTTGGAATGTGAAGGATGGTCCAATTCCTCTCACATTCCAGGCAAGTATCCTCATTTATCTGGTTGGGGCCATTTGAAGCTGGCTTCCTCCACCTTCTCGGAGACATCGACATCCTCGACAAACTGTTTTTTAGGGGTAGGGTTCTCTGCCACATCGCCCTCGAGTTCATTGATAGAACATTTTTTAGTTCCCTCCACTCGGTCGACTAGGTTGGAACCATATTCATGAATTCCCATATCATCTCCTACATGTATCTCCGGCACCACATTAGCCTTTTCCTTCAGGGACGGCGGCTTGTGTAGGCTCCCCTCCACCTCGACATCTTCCATGGCCAGAACAACTTCAAAGGCCTGAACGACCTGCTTGAACCGATTGGAACGAACCAGTCGGTTCAGTCTTCCTTTCACCGGTGGAACTCATTTTCTAAGGGCCTGTTTACTTTCATTTCTGTTTCCTGTTTTTGAGAAAACAGGTGAAAACAACATTTTGTCGTTTCCGAAAACAGCAGGAAGTTGCCACTTTGTGTTTTCATTGTTGGAAACGAATAGAAAACAGAATGAAAAGTAAACAAGTTTTCTCATTTCGGTTGCCTAATTTATCACAAGAAAACAGGAAACGAAAATGGAAGTGAACAGGCCTTAAGTTCATTGGCAGGAGGATCCTCCTCAAACAGGGCCGCCTCCGACTCCAGTGACTCAGACCGTATCTCTCTCGGTTGAGCTTCATTTGGTTTAGTCAAGGAATGGGCCACGAAACTTCGGCCATCACCATTCTCATCTCCGTTGTCCATTACCAAAGAGATTCCTTGCTCATCCCCCTTGGCCTTCACACCATTCAACAGGAATCTGCAAAGGCTGTAGCTGAAGAAGAGCAGGCCTTAAGGGTCTCTTATGACTATGGAAGAGGTGGCAGAGGTCAAGGAAGGAGTTTTTATCCTGGAAGAGGTAGATGAAGAGGAGGCAGAGGTTGGAATAAGGAGTCTGTGGAATGCTACAAATGTCACAAACTAGGGCACTTCAAGTATGAGTGTCCTGAATGGTATCCTAATCAGCAAGCTCACTATGCAGCATCTGAAAGTATGCAGGACAAAAGCTATGGAAACATGAATGAAGATATGCTATTAATGGCCTGTGTCGATTCTGAAGACTCAAATGAGTGGGAAGAGGAAACACAAGGTCTAATGGCTTTGCTTGATTCAGACAAGAGAATTCAAGTAGTGATTGGTGGTTCCTGGATTCTGGCTGCAACAACCACATGAGTGGTGACATGAAGTGGTTCACCAGTCTTGACACTAACTTTGCTTGCAAATTAAGGCTGGGAAACAATTCCAAGTTAGAAGTTGCTGGAAAAGGAGAAGTGAAGATGCTGGTGAATCAGAAAAGCATTATTATTCAGGAAGTGTTCTATGTTCCAGGCCTCAAAACCAATCTGTTGAGCATTAGTCAATGGCAGGAGAAGGGTTTGACGTTTGTGATCAAGGGAGGAAGCTGCAAAATTTATCATGAGGAGAAGGGACTGTTGTTGCGGACTGAAATGAAGACAAACAAGATGTTTGTTCTTCATGCACTCTGCAAGCCAGCATTTCCAGTGTCTTAAAACTGGTGCTGTCATAGATCCTGCTCTCACTCTATGGCATCGCAGGTTTGGACATCTGGGGGTGGCTAATCTGCAACTCCTGCAGACAAAGAAGCTTGTGAGAGACCTGCCAAAACTGAAAGGGGGAATTAGAGTCAGTGAGACTTGCATGTTTGGCAAGCAATACATGAAGCCTTTTCCTAAAGCAAGTCACTGGAGGGCAGAGGAAGCATTTCAGCTGGTTCATGCAGACCTTTGTGGACCTATTACTCCAATGTCAAACGGAGGAAAGAGGTATATGTCACTCTGATTGATGATCTTAGTAGAAAGATGTGGGTGTTCTTTATGATAGCAAAGTCAGAAACTTTAGGTTGTTTTAAGAAGTACAAACTGAAAATTGAGAAGGAGATGGATCTGGAAATCAAGTGTCTAAGAACTGATAGGGGTGGTGAGTTCATGTTAAATGAGCTTAAGCAACTTTGTGATGAAGTTGGGATAAGGAGGCAACTCACAGCTGCCTTTACACCACAACAAAACGGTGTAGCAGAAAGAAGAAATAGGACCCTAATGAACATGGTTCGATGCATGTTGAAGGATATGGATGTTCCATTAGAGTTCTGGGCTGAACTAGTGGCTTGGACTTGTCATGTGCTCAATAGAAGTCGAACCACAGCCAATCAAGGCAAGACACCCCAGGAGTTGTGGACTGGCTAGCCTCCTTCTGTGTCTCATTTCAAGATATTTGGTTGTGTTGCTTATGCACACATTCCAGATCAACAAAGAAAGAAGCTTGATAACAAGAGTGA